CACAAGAGCATATGCTTTTTGAAACAGGGTGTGTGGAGAGGGCAGATAACGCCACGTTTTAGGTTAGTACGTGTTGCTACTTAAACCAAACAAATTTCATAAAGGCAAACAAATGCAAGAAGCTGGCAAGGTCCCTTGGGGAGAAAAAACACCGACGTGGTGTGAAAACTTTATGGATCACCAGCACCCTTCCTTGGGGTAGTTAAGCAAATACATAAAATTAGGGATGCCATCTGTCAGGAGAGAAAAAAAATTGTCTGAAGCCTTTAATCAGGGTTTTTTTTGTAGAAAAAGAGGTGCAGGAGCTCATTAGCATACCTCATTAGCACAACTTATTTGCATATGCCACACCCCCTGACGTCACCGGAAGTGTGTCAGAAGGCAACACCCACCGCTCAGGCTCCACTGGACTGTTTTGGATTGCTAGCTATTGGGGGGGGGAGTGCAGATCTGTCCTCGCAGAGGAGGGAGAGCTTGTACCTGAATAAAACTTGGTCTTAAAGGTGCCACTGGACTGTTTTGGAGGGGGGCTCTGCAACTTACCTGGCTGCTTCTTGCTCTGACTGAGGGCTGTTGGGAGCAGGGGGTGGGGCTTGTTGCATCTGCCCGCCCCCTGGGCTCTTTACTGCCGGAGCTCCGCTTCTGTGCGTTCCTGCAGGAAATGACCCCTGCCTTTAATAGAGTTTTCATGTCAGTGTGCGTGTGTGACTTATTTCCACCCCATAGGGTTTTCAAGACAAGAGTCTAACAGAGGTGGTTGGCTATTGCCTGCCTCTATGGAGTGACCCTGGACTTCCTTGGTAGTCCCCCATCCAAGTACTAGCCAAGGCTGAGCCTGCTTGGCTCCCAAGACCGTAACAACTGAAGACGAGCCCTGCTGGATCAGACAAGTGGCCCATCTAGTCCAGCATCCTGTCTCACACAGTGGCCACCCTGTTCCTCTGGAGGGCCAACAAGAAGGCAGAGAGGCCAAGGCCTTCCCCTGATAAGAACATCAGAAGAGCCCTGCTGGATCAGAGCAGTGGTCCGTCTCGTCCAGGATCCTGTCTCACACAATGGCCAACCTGTTCCTCTGGAGGGCCAACAACAGGGCACAGAGGCCAAGGCCTTCCCCTGATAAGAAAATAAGAAGAGCCCTGCTGGACCAGACCAGTGGTCCGTCTA